CATTGCAGTGCCATCATATTTTTTAGTCGGCTTGTACGGTTGGTAAAGTGTGTCGATTTATTATCGACTCAGGTACTTGCAAAAACGTCGTGGCTTTGGAAGCCATGGAAAAACTAAATCTCCCTAACAAACCACATCCCCACCCTAGATCTTGGTGTGGTATCCAACGTGGTAATTCCATTATGGTAGATCGTCGTGTGTTGGTCTCTTTTTCCATTGGTACCACATAAAGATTTGGCGTGGTGTGACGTGGTTTCTATGGATGTGTGTCATGTACAACTTGGTCATCCTTGTCAATAAGATCGTTAAGTTTTTCATGATGCCTTTCGCAATACCTATGGCTTTCTCTTTCAAAGTGTCAGGATTATCCTTCATCTTGCGCCCCCTCAACCACTTTCACCACATGTCACCATCTCTTGTTTCTCTCGCTTGCTGCCGTTGTCAAAGAGATGCGTTCTAAACCAATGATTCTTCTTTTACTGAGTATTGATACGACGAATGATGCATCTCCTTCAGCAGAAATCCAACATTTGCTTGCTGAATTTTCTGACTTTTTTCTGATGAACTCCCTCGTGTCATGTCGCCATTGCGCGTTATTCATCATCAGATAGATTTGGTATCTGGAGCTTCTCTCCCAAACCGACCACACTATCGCAGCAGTCCAGCTAAGCATGAAGAACATCGTCAGCAAGTGGAAGATCTACTTCGCCGTGGAGTCGTCCGTCAAAGTTTGAGCCCTTGTGGTATCCCCACTCTTTTCATCCCCAAAAAGAACAACTCTTGGCATATGTGTGTGAACATCCGTGCTATAAATATAATTATGGTTGCTTCATCGTTTTTTCTATTCCTTGTTTGGATGACTTATTGGACCAATTGCATGGCGCCTCGGTCTTTACTAAACTTAATCTACGAAGTGGCTATCATCAAATTCATATTCCCCTAGGCAACGAGTGGAAAAGACCTCTAAAATATGCGAGGGCCATTTTTGAATGGTTGGTTATGCCAATTGGTTTGTCAACGCTCCCAACACCTCTTTATGCGTGTCATGAATCAGGCTCTTCAATACCTTATCGGAAAGTGTGCCATCGTTTACTTTGATGACATCCTTATTTTTAGTCGGTCACTTGATGATCATTTGGTGCACGTCCGCTCAGTGCTTCTCATTTTACGTGCTAAGAAGTACACGACTCCTAAAAAATATTTCTTTTTGGTAAACTCGATGATATTTCTAGGTTATCAAATTTCTTCTAAAGGTATATGTTTGGACGACACCAAGGTTGCAGCTATTAGGGAATGGTCGATGTCTAGTTCATTTACGAAAGCTCGTGGCTTTCACCGGCTAGCGACATTTTATCGTCGATTTATTTCTCACTTCAGCTTAATTATGGCTCTTATTACAGATTGTATGAGTGGTAAATCATTTGTATGGTCGTCGAAGGCTGCTAAAGCTTTTGATCTCATCAAGCATAAGCCATAAGGTCATTAGAACTCTCATCTTGTTGTTACCTTTTAAAGCTTTTGATCTCATCAAGAATAAGCCATAAGCTCATTACAACTCCCATCTTGTTGTTACGTGATTTACTTGATAAAATAAATTCATTTTAATTAATAAGATAATATAAAGTTTATAAATATACTTATTATTCACATAGATTTTTAAATATATAATAAAAGTTTACCGAAACAATTTTTTTATGCAATCACATTATAATTATTAATCAAATCGAATTTCCATATAAAAATTTTAAAATGAGACATCACACTTATTTTGAGATTAATATAATGTAATTTATTATCAATTACATGCACCGTACGAGTTGTGTACTAACTTTAATAGACGTATTTTATGTAATTTTGCACAATTTAAATTTCATATAATATTTTCAATAAACTTATATAGGTAAATTGTATTCCATATTGATTCCAAATTTTTTAATTTATAAATATTGTTTAATGAGCTTTTTTGATTTATAAATTTTAAAGAATATGCATAGCACGAGATTCGTACTAGTTTATAATTTACAAGGCACCGATAATATGAATTTTTTTTTTTCAACACATCGAATCATACTTTCTACAATGTAAAATAAATGAACTATGTTCACATAAATAAATAAATTACGAGCATACACTTGACTAAAGACACGAAACTCATTCAAAATTGTTTTGTAAGTAACAAAGCTGAGCTTCAACATTATACTCCAACAACTTATCACCAGCAGACATAGGGTTAAACCGAGGTCGCCAATCACTCGTTTGGCAATTTGTTGTGTTTGGTCGGGGAGAACTTATGTTCATGGTGGGATAGCAGATTCAGTTAGGCTGAGTTCGCACATAATTCTACTATTAATCGAAGAACACGTCTCTCACCTTTTCGGGTGTGTATACGATCCAGCCTCAAGGCATGGTAGACCTTGTGGCCTTGCCTTCTCTAGACTGTACCTATTGACGGGCTATGGATTTGATTGAGGCATTGGGAAAGACCCACGAAGCCACGCGCTCCAATCTGGAGGCCTCTAATGCATCATATAAAAGACAGCTTAATGCTCATCGTCGGCTTGAGGAGTTTGAAGTTGGGGATTTTTTATGGGCTATTTAACAAAGGATCGATTATCTGTAGTGTAATAAGTTGTTTGTCCGTAATATCGAGCCGGTCGAGATTTTAGAGGAAATCAATCCTAATGTCTATTGCCTTCGACTGCCATCCCATATTCATACTTTTTGATGTAATTAATGACAAGCACATGGTGCTTTTCCATGGTGATAATTCTGATGGAGATAAGGTTCCTTCTGATTCGAGGGTGAATCATTTTCATGAGCGGGAGAATGATAGAGATGATATTGTACTGGCTTTTTCGGGCAGGCACGATCATTTAGTATCATTAGTCTAGTAATTTAATAGGTTTATTTTAATAGCTCTTTAAGTATTTTTATTCTCTTGCTGAGCTAGTATCTTTATTTTGGTAGGACTCTTTTGCTTTTAATATTGAAGACTGTCACTTCATTGTTATTAGGTTGGTTGATTCTTAAAAGAAAAAAGAAAACTCAAAAATTCTATCTCAATCTCTATTGTTGATACGCTTTCGCTATGTCAGTGCCTCGTAACCAACTCTATACATCATTACCACCGCAGCGTAAACTTAAACAACTTATTATGAATCCTACCAAAAGTGAAAAGTACCAAACACCCAGAGATAGATAGTGCTCGTCCTAGACCTTCCGCTTCCAATGATAAAGCCACACCAAATGAAATCCAATCGCTCACACTTTTAAATAAAATGAAACCTCACGAACTCACTATTATGTCGGAATATAGGTTCAATAAAATGTGAATTCACGACCCTAAGTGCGAGAAAGCGAACTTTATACAAACTAAGTCTTGCATGTAAGTCTGCAGAATTCAAGATATCAAAATCTTTTAAAACTGAAGCACATAATTCGTAGTCTCTTTTTGTTTTGGATGAAGTGCTGCTCACTTGTTTTATGTCTTTTCTCCATATATCAAACCTTATTGAATTAATCAACTCCTGAAATATAATACTTTCAAATGTCAACTTCATCCAGGTAACAGCTTTACAAGTTTTCTCCAAATTGTCACTCTTCATTTAGCAGGCATAGTTGATAAAGATCCGAAAAAAAATTATTCGTTCTTCTCTTGCCAGCAGTGTTATATTCGTAATGTCACCACATTGGTCCCTACTGACTCTCCCAACAATGATAGCATTGATCCAGATATGAACCTGATGCTTGTGATCATATTAATTTGAGCATGTTTTCATCATGTTACACTAGAAAATTCTGATTCAGTTCTAAATATCTACTGAAAGCGTTGGTATAGACACTGCTAGAATCAGTATGGTAAAACAGAATAGCGTGTAGGATTATTTTCACTGTTTACTAAGGCCACCAAGGGAGGGAGTGTTTTAGTACTTGATAGGAAAGTGTGGAACCATTTACCATAAAAGTGCTTAGCTTGTGTAAACGGGGAACAATCAGAAATTTAAATTAAAACATCCTTCTTCCTGGCCTTGGTTAAGTTATGCATATTCAGAGAGATGAAATTTTGACGTTTACAAAACAGTATACAGTGGTCTTTTAAGGACCCCGAACTTATGAAGTTCTGAAGTTTAGCTCGGCCTTTTCCTGCTTCTCACTCTTACCTTTTCCTTCTTCTCACTCTTGGTCTCTTACCAATATGCAATGTTCTGTAGGGCTGATTTGTAGGGCTGATAGTATGTTTTCATAACAAAAGGACAGTTTTGCCGTCAAATTTGATATACTCGCCTAAACAACGTAGAAATTTTGTTTCAACTTAATTCCAGGTTGCTTGGAGAAGTATGACATTTTCTTGTAAAGTCTTATGTTTGAATCAGTACTCGATCCATCTAACTCAATATCCTCATCGTTCAAACGAGTTCTCCATAAACACAGACTCGAGCTCCCCACGTGCACATCGAGAACTCAATTCATGATTGATACTTGATTGTATGACATTGCCAACATCTTACTTCTTTATTTTATCAGCAAAATTTGAAAAAGACTAAAAAATATCTTTAAGAAATTAGGAATCAAAAAAGGAGCTTAACTCAAGAACCAAAAAAAAACAATTTCAGTTATTAGAAACATGAAATCCTCTTTCATCATATCATTGGTTGAACATATCATCATCATATAATAAGATGAACATCACAAACTAGAGCAAACCTTTTTACATACCACAAAGTACTTGCACAGATCATCATATCATGAGTGGAACATCACAAACTACGGCAAATCTTTCTATGCACCACAAAGAACACACACACGAGGCGATCATATACTGATTCATCTAAGCACCAAAGTGTAGAAAACTACTACTCTTAATACTATATGAAGCAAAGCAGGATACAAATCTTATTCAACTGGCATGATTATTCAAACAGAACCGCATAAACTCTGATTTTAGTAGTAATTTTGGCCAAAATTGTGTTACTCCATTGAAATCACACAGTGTTCTAGAATTAAGGCTTCGAGAACTTACGCACGCCTCTCATGAATCCGCTTTCACCCTTCATCTCCTTCTCCCCCCTCTGAAGCCTCAAATGTTCCCCCAATTTCTTCAGAACCTCGATTTCCGTCTCTCCGTCGAGCACGATCTGATTAACCCGATGTCTATCCTCTCCTTCGCGGCCGCCGTGGTAGTAGTGGCGGCACGAGATCCGCCTGCCTCTGCTGTACAGCACGGGCTCCTGGAAGTCGCTGTTCTCGCCGGAGGAGAAGATCATGTCGTTTCCGTAGGAGATCTGCTCGTTTTCCTTTCTTTCCCGGCGGCCATGAGCGCATGGGCGACTCGATCGGACGGGGAACCGGCGGTTGACCGCGCGGAAAGGGAATTTGGGCAGCGGCACGGAGGAGACGTCGAGGGTGTTGAACTGCTTCTCGGTGTTGTCCGGCACCTTGTAGACGGCGACCTGGGTGGAGGCCTCATCTTCAACCGACGGCGCGTGGTCGGAGAATGAAAGGGCGAACAAGCAGAAGAGTGCGACTACGGTGGCGCAGGATTTAGACATGGTGGTGGAGGTTTTTGTTTTCGGGTAGAATTTTTGGAGTTCGTATAGGTGGGATCCGGGTTTTAACGTGTGTTTCGTGAATCTATATGTATCTGTATCAAAACTTTTGCCATTTGGCTTTTTTTTTTTTTTAACTATACCATAGAGATATCTATATCTATATCTATATAATAAGATTTACCATTTTTTAAAAATAGCAGGTCAAACTCAATATGCATTTATTACATACTATTAATAGCAACTTCTTTTTTCTTTTTTTTTTTAATGAAAAAACGGATAAAAAATAAATGTTGGGCTAAAAAAGTGGAGAAGTTGTTTATTTTTTGTTGGGCTAAAAAAGTGGAGAAGTTGTTTATTTTTTTCATTTTTTTGTAATGAAAAAACGGATGAGAGATAGATGTTGGGCTAAAAAAGTGGAGAGGTTGTTTATTTAGTTGTACAAGATAGACTTACTTTTTCATTTTCACAAAATCAAAAAACTTTTTTGTAACAGAAACCGCTCATTCACTTTTTTTTGGATAAAAATATTATGGTTGATTTAATAATAAAAATTTTCTTTTTTATTTTCATAAAATCAAAAAATCTTTTTGTAACATAAAATCGTCTACCACTCATCTAATATTTTTTATTTTTTTTTGATAAAATGAAATTATGGTTGATTTACTAATAACAAATTACTTTTTTTTTTAAAAAAAAAAAAATCGGTAACTTTTTTAACATCAAATCGGCTAATAAAATTGATTTAAATGGCGGCTATTATTTAAATTACGGCTTATTTAATAATCAAAATGTAAAATAATTATTTTTTATAATTTTTTTTCTACCATTAAATATGGCGACTATGTTTTGATTGCGCTTATTCAATTGTTTCGTTTGGCAAATATTTTCACAAAAAATAATATACACCTACGAAAATTATGAAATCGTCAAATAATCAAAATATATTAACATTTTTTAAATCTGGCAGCATTGAATGTTGCCCTTTAAATGTGGAGTTTGTTACCTTTTAGATAATAATTTTGTCTTAATCTCAGTTAGATATAAGATAAATACCATTTTATTTGTAAAATTAATAAATCTGCATATAACGTGTAATTGTATGCCTATATTTTTTTTATGGTAACTAAAAAATAATAATATTTTTGAATCTTTTGTACTCAAATTACTTAAAAATAATAATAATAATAATAATAATAATAATTTGAAATCTTATGTACTCAAATTTTCAGGTACCGTCGTAATCATGTCAATATTTATTTTATATATACTATGTAAATTTTCTCTCAAAAACTTTATAATGTCTTTATTTAAACTCATAATATTATAGATACTTTTATATAATATTTTATTATGTCATATACTATCTATATCTATATATACAAAAACATATACACATATACATATACATATTAAATTTAAATGTTTTTAACAATGTTTTCTTTACAAAAAGAAAAAAAAAAAAGTTTAGAAAACATCTTTCATGCAAAAAGTGAAAGTTAATGTTTTTAGACATGCTTTCTTTCTTAGAAAAGTTCTAGGTGATTTCACATATTTTAATAACACTATAAAATTTTTGGATATTTTTACATATGTTAATATAATATTTTAAGTGTTTGTAATATTTTAAACATACAAATTTTATGTTCTCTTATACAAGCTAATTTCAGATTGTCTACAATAAATTGATATACGGTAAATTATATCACATGTTAACGCCACATCTTTAATTTGTTTAACATCATCTTTAATTTATAATACTTTTTTTTGCTCTTTTAAGAAAGGATGGTTTCCCACTTCTTTCACGGGGTGACTCGAACTCCAGACCTATTTATAATTATTATTTAATATTGTTTATTCGTGCATCGCACGGGATACGCACTAGTTTTATATCAAAAACGCGGAAATGTGCAAACAACACAGTCTATAGTTGAATAGCACAGCCAACGGTTAAAATTGGGAGGACGGGTCATGAGACCGTCTAGAACCCGACTAGCAACGCTAGAATACAAACTCTAAGAGACACAACACAAAGATCTAATGAGAACGACCCCAGCGGAGTAATGTGGAACGACCCCCACGGAGTAATGTGATACGACTCCCAACGGAGTAATGCCATTTGCCTTCAAATAACGTGCTTTACACTAAAAGACTTTTAGTTACTTAAAAAAATAAAATTCTCTATAATTTTTTATTTTTTTTTTTGTTAGCATTATAAAAATATTTTTTTAATAATAATAATAATTATTGAATTTTTTTTCAAATTGATTTATGAATAATTGTTTGACAATATATCTTCCCTATATATTATTTCAGAATGCGCTGAGCCTACGTGGAAGTTTTTGGTGCTTCAGAATCCTAATTGGCAAAGAATCATGCTTCGTAATTAAGTTTGGACAAATAATATTGATATATTAATAATTAATTATTTAGGTTTGGACATTCCATAAATATTATTTATCTAACTTATGTATTTTAATATCGCTTGTACTAATATAACCCTTTATTTCTTTGTAATTTTACATACTGAGGCACTAAGTGACTAATATATCCCTGACTTTTGATTTGTTTCCTTCAATTAGCTATTGAATTGTAAATGTATTTTAAAATTTGATAACTTCTGTATTTCGTATCGGTTTTTACATATATATAATATATCAAATTAATCATCTTTTGATGATCTTCGATTTGACATCCATATTGTATATATGGAATAAAAAAATTTATTTATATTTATAATAATAAAAAAATAATAATATTGATTAAAATTCATTAAAAAAATAAAATTATTTCTCAGTTGATATATTTATGCTTAATGTAGTTATATGTTGTAAGTTAAAAAAATTATTATAATATAACACATGTAAGTTGCACAAATAAAAAGTGTCATACTAAATATATAATAATATATATATTTTTATAAAAGGTATTTAAATTTTCAACTACTTTTTCTTATTAATTTTAGGTTTAAAAAAAAAAAAATAGCAAGTGTAATATACGGGCGTTGTACTAGTAATATAGTAATTATAACAATTTGTCTTAGGTTATATATATATAAATAGAATATAAAATTTATTTTTAAAGAATTTTCTTTGTTATAGCACCATCCATTTATTATATTTAATAACTTATGAATAACATGCTACAAAAACATTAATTGATATGTAAAATATATGTGTCATGCTGGTATCGCACCATCGTGTAAATTGTTTAATCAATCAAATCTAAATTTTTAAAAATCGTTTCTTTTATTTTTTTATAAATATGGATAAAGTAAGAAAAAAATTTATTTATACTATTGTATATATTTATAATCATAATATAGTCTCGTTTGTCATAAATATTTATTTGCATGGTTCATAAGATATTTTTATTTCATAAAATTAAATATATTTAAGAAAAGTAAGAAAATTTATTTAGGCCAGTCGGGTGATTTTGTTAGGTTATTAATCAGGTTGATTGAATTAATTTTAGTTATTTAAATTAATCCAATAATGACAAAAACTGAGGATGATCATATGTGATCAAGTTATGGTTCAATTTGCCAGATCAAACTGATTATTGAAACTAAATATAAATTTTAATATTAAAAATATTTATTAGGATAAATTTAAAGTATTCCAAGCTTTGTATAATCATATTTATGACAACATTTTTAGTGATTTATGAATATTTGTATATTATTGTATTAATATATATGAAAAAAATGATATTGTATTAAAACAATTATTAATTTACGATAAATTCAAGGTTCTCATAATAGGATCATCATCGAACCGATTAAGTTATTTATTCATTGATTATTGATTGGACCATAATATAATTTTTTATTTTTAATATATATATATAGTAAATTTTGTAATAAATTTATATAAAGAATATTAATTCAACATTTGAACAATTCAAGATTTGAAAAGTTAACTTATGTTGACGGTAGTAATCGTCAGTCTTCCCCACTTTAAGGGTTCGGATTCTTGGTGGTCATGACCATACATCGAATACTCATGAACTTCTACGGTGCTCTTACCTAGGATGGAAATCTATTTTTGGATTCTATTTAGCTTTTGCACCCTCAAGACTCGAACTCTCCAACCAACGCCACCGACGTAGACATGGCCACGGGCTGAACCGGCCCGTGGCCCGACCCGCGAGCTGGTACCGGCCCGAACCGGGAACCGTAGGGCCGCGGTTCAGTCCCGGTTCATACACTCTTTGTTTTTGACCCGACGGGCCGTGCCGGATAACGTTGCTTTTTTTTGGATTTTTAAGGGCCATATCAGCCTGAAACCGTCCGAGACCCGCCAAGCTGGTGAACCGGCGGTACCGGCCCATATATTTTTTCGGGCCGGTTACGGGTCATAATGTTTAGGCGGGCCGGGTCGCGGCCCGGCACCTGGTCATCTCTACACCGACGATGTCCCCCAACTTTGTTTGGCGCGAAAATCTTTTCCGCCGATAAAAGAACGAAACTAGGTTTCGAACTTCATTTCCAATTCCACAACTCGGGCGAATTAAACGAAATAAAATTAAGGACGCCTCTGCGGTGAATTTTGCAGCTGAGATATGGCTAACAAGCGGGCTTCGAAGCGGAGACGCACGAACCACGCTGTAAAACACCACCACCAACAAGAAGAAGAAGAACAATCAGCGCAGAAAGTGGAGGAAGATAGTAAAAATTTAGCAGAGAAATCGGAGAAGGTAGAGACAAAAGAGAAATCTCCGGTAATCGTCCTCGCTCACGGAGCCGGTGCTCCTTCCTCCTCTGATTGGATGATTAAGTATGCCCTACACCTTCTCTTCCAATTATGCGGCCAGTCTTTTTTTCTTTGTTTTGATTATTATTAGTAGTAGTAGTAGTAGTAATTTATAATGATGACGATGATAAAATTGCGCAATTTTATTTGATGTGCCGAAACTTGGATCTGCTTGAACCGGCGACTGACTTTCGGCCGCTCAAGTACAACTGATAACTTGCAAAACAAGAGCTAGGAAGAGCTCCCTTGAGCACTTTGACACTCTAGGAGTAATTCATCAAATTTGGTTAGATATAAAATGATAACATACTCCTCCTCATAGGATCCCTATATACATTAGGGATATAGATCACCCAACTTTCCATCTAAGGCATCTAGCGGCGAATCTGATTTATTTGAGACTAGCTACCATAGATCACTTTCTCCAAGCATCAGAGCTTTTGCCTTTATGCTCGACAGAAATCACATGTTATACCATATTTCCCGAAATAGTGATTGGAAAAGAGAAGATGATAAGTGTATATAGAATTCTATTTTAGTTGTACATTATCCCCTTTATATAGATACTACCTTGGTGCCCAAGATTTTTTGCTGCTCGGGCTGCCTGACTGCTTGAGATTAATCTTCTCTGGGCTGTTCGACTGTCTAGGTTAATCCTTATTTGATTTTTGATCATCTTTATATTCATCATGTTCTCGTATTCACATGTCTTTCCTTATTTAGATGGACCTGTTGAATGTCGATAGGTTCTTTCCAATAGTTAGTTCGAGTGCTCTCTGACATTTAAATAGCCCTTATTATACTATTCTATCTCCTTCACTTATATTTTTCTGGTTACGTGGGTCGCTATCTTCACTTAGCCTCGTGTCCAGTCTTTTTTAACTTCTACTCTTTTCCACTCCGATATAGGTTTCCTAAGTAATGTCGAGCTGAAGGCTCGACCAGCCTCACACCTCTGGTGTGGTTCAAACGTCCCAACTCAAGTCGGCCAACCTATTTCACTTTGAGTTAATTGTTTCAGTGATTGGACTTCGTTGTAGATAATGATCCAACAACGGAGTGCTCTAAATGGGGATTTTAAAATAAGTGTCCACGAATACCTTTTCATGATGTGTGCTGGGTTATTACTTCATTTGTTGATGTCCTATCAAGTCACACGAATACCTTTTCATGATGTGTGTTGGGTTCTTACTTCATTTGTTGATGTCCTATTGAGTCAGACGAATACCTTTTCATGATGTGTGTTGGGTACCTAATCCATTTGTTAATGTTCTCGATTTCAAACTACTGTTCTTCATTGTTACACACTTGGTTCGCGTACATTGTGGCACTAACAACATGAGCTTAACAACTCTCTACGTAATCTTAGTCGGCTATCGGTAGAAAGGTAGCTCGATGAAACAAACCCATCCAGTGAAGTGAAAAATGAGTTAAAATCAAAATCTGTTCATCTTTAGGAACTAGGAGGATGAAGGATGAACAACAATGAATCAATCAACATACCCAGTATATTCCCAACAGGTTGGGGTATTCCCAACAGGTTGGGGATGAACAACAATGAATAATCTCTAGAAATTAGGAGGATAAACGATGAACGCCAATGAATAACTCCCTTTTTTTTAAATCAAAGTGGGTTACGCTATTCCTGAGGTGATAAACAAGGTCGGCCTGTCTGGCTAGATGGTTAGATTAGCTGTTGAACACTGAAAGGCAAAAAGAAGGGCTATATGAACTCTTCTATTCCATTCTTTCGGCAGAGGGGGAAACCATATGCCGGTAGGTAGGCCTTGTTAATCGGCTCAAGATAGCATCAACCCACCTTGATTTGTAATTATTTATTGTTCTTTTATCTTTAATCCTTCTAACTTTTAAAGGTGGAATATATTTTGACCTTGACCCATTCTTCGCTTCACTTTGATGGATTTGTTTCATTGATGCACTGAAGAGCTGCTCAAGTCGTTAATGCGACAATGTATTCGGACCAAGTGTGCAACATTGAAGAATCAACAGTAGTTCTGTGTATTCAAGAGCTCTATAGGACACCAACACATGTGGTTCTATACGACACCAACAAATGGAGTGTAATGGAGTCGGAGCCCATCACATACAAGAGAAGGCATTCGTGACACTTATATCGAAAACCCTTCTTGCCTTCTTGGGTATCTACAAAAAGACCAAGGAGGTGTGGTCCTACATTGAGCTTTGTTTTTTTAACAGTTACCTCGAAGTGAAACAGGTAGACTTATGTAACTAGGGGGGTTGAGGAAGATTAGACAGGAAGAACGAAGTTTGCGACCCATAACCAGATTGACCTTGTTTCAAGGAGGCAGAATGTAGAGTTAAGTCACTTGGCTTGGTGTTAGTTCAATCGACCTATTTAATTTAACTTCAAATGCTAGAGTGCACTGAAACTAACTACTCGAGAGAACCTATTGACATTAAACCGTCGATCAAGTAAGGAAACATTTGTGAACACAACAGGACCTGAGCAAGTGTGAACATGATAAGGATGAAATCAAGATAAAGATGGATATACAGAAAGTCTTAGCACAAAGGTATTCCCCCAATCTAAAATATAAAAGGATAAGGTACAACTGACTTGAGTGTCGGAGTGTTCACGCTGGGAGCTCTTCCCGGCCCTTGTTTTGCATGTTATCTGATGTGCTCGAGTAGCAGGTTGTTTTCAGTTGCCGGTTCCGGTTCAAGCTGATCTAGGTTCCAACACATCATTATTGATATACGATGATCCTCTTCTTCTACTTCTAAATGGTGTTTGACTATGTGATAGCCATGAGCTGGAATTTAATGTTGCTACCAATATGTAACTATTGAAATATTTTATAATGGAAATATCAAGCTTTTCGGCTCCATAGCCTCCGTATGTATTGTATATATGCAACTATCCTTTCATGTTATATCATTCTTGGTACTTAGTAAAAGATGATAAAACTGGTTGTCGAATTTCATGGCTTGAACAGGGATTTTTTAGTAACAGCTTGGTACTCTATGCAGATGGAAAGATATGTTGGCAAAGGCGCTACATGCTATTGAAGTAGTGACCTTTGACTATCCTTGTGAGTACTTGATTCTGCATTTGGTTTTTGATAATATCTCTAATTTTATTTGTATAGACAATTCTAGGGATTCTTTACTTTTGAGTAGAATGAGCTGGGTAATATACACATAGAATCGAAAATGAATAGAGAACTTTATAGGGGTTTCTGAATTTGTATGCTTTAGATATAGAACTCAGATGTTTAATTTGAGATTTTGGCAGATATTGCTGGAGGGAAGAGAAGGGCTCCCCCCAAGGCTGAAAAATTAGTTGATTTTCACTGTGATATTGTTAGAAAGACTGCGGCTAAGTACCCTGGACATCCATTAGTCTTGGCTGGGAAGTCCATGGGATCAAGGTAATGTGATTCCAGTATTCCCTTCATTGTAGGAAGTTATTTTGATATCAAATCTGTCACCTTTTTTACAAATATTCCAAAATCGCAGGGTCAGTTGTATGGTTGCTGGAGAAAAAGATATAACTGCTTCAGCTGTAGTTTGTTTGGGATACCCCCTAAAGGTATGCCATCTTTTTATTGCAGTCAATATAATTTTCTGGCTTTCTACCTTGCTTCGAAATTCTTTCCGCAGATGGCTCTAGTGGAACGGATGATATTTATTGTTCTATTAGTACCTTCCTTTTCCAATGTGGTTGTTATAGAATTTGATCTTTAGTTAGCATGCTGCTTGATTTCTCTTTCACCATGCTCTGTATCTTTTTAGTTTGCTAGTCGAATCTTCACATCAATTATTGAGTTGTTTTATGCATAAAAATGAAAAAAAAAAAAAAAAAGAAAAGAAAAAGATGAAGTGTGGGTGATCTAGTTGCCAACTTAATTGTTCAAAGTCTGAAATTTACCAACATTTGTGCTACTTAATTTATCATGATCAGTTCAGTTCAGATGAGTGTCGTGCATAGAAACTGTATTACAAGAATAATAACTACATACACATGTGGAAGTCAAACCTTGTATCCATCTACATCTTTTAATATTCCACAGAATTTAGAAGTCTCTCCTCAGATTTGTCTTTACACTGTTGTACGATAAACTTAGTATTATTTCGACAAATCTTTCTCATGTGGTGTTTTTATGTTTCACTTGCGGACACCTCTATAGTTTATCAGTGACATGCATTGTAACATAGGGCTGAGAACTGGTTTTGCATCTAAAATCTTCTCCCATGTTTAGTTTCTGTATTATGTTAAGCGTTTTATACTTGTAATCTGCAATGAATATTTTCTAACATGATTTTGATATGTAAGGGCATGAAAGGTGCTGTGAGGGATGAAACCCTGCTGCAACTCACTGTCCCTGTAATGTTTGTGCAGGTAAAACACATTCTAACACATATTTCCTATTGAACTAAGTTTTTGCCAAATCAATTTTCTCGATTTGAAACATGTTTCTTTTTCCCGTCTTGAAGGGTAGCAAAGATGGGCTCTGCCCGCTAGAGAAGTTGGAAGCCGTAAGGGAGAAAATGAATGTAGTTACAGAATTGCATGTGATTGAAGGGGGTGACCACTCTTTCAAAATTGCCAAAAAGCATCTACAGCTGAGCGGGTCCAGTCAAGAAGAAGCAGAAGACCAAGCTGTTCAAGCTATCGCGAAATTTCTTTCAAGTTCCGGCAGGTGAAGTGTGAAACTAGTCGAAAACTTGCTCCTTAAGAAGTCACTTTTTTGAAATCCATCTTTTGTGCTCTGTAATGGTCCCAAGTTGACATTAGTACAAAACTTATTCTCCCCCTCTAAAGTTTTCAGTAATGATGTAAATTAATCTCCGTAGCTCAAGTAAACTTATGTACTAATTAATGTGTGTTCCGGAGCAACTTTTTTTTTTGTTTTTGATTGATTCATTTTGTCCATATACTTGTGAACAACTTCATTCGCAGATTGCGACTTAGTATTTATTGACGAAAATGACGATACTTTTTTTGCTATCACTTTTTTGCATTTTGCATAATCAAAATTTGAAACACAATGTGTAGTTGATAGAATTTCCCTCAAAAATCCTGCTGTGTGCTCCTTTAATGCATTTTGCACTTACATCAATTTCCCACTGTTTATTTGCTTCTCAATTTATTGTTTCCAGTCGAGTCGGTTGAGCGAGCCCGTTCGAACACTCATCACCCCCACCCCCCCCAAAAAAAAGCAAATAATGAGAAGATGAAAAGGAATGTCACACAAACTAAGAATTTGCATCTAAGATGTAAAAGAATTCCAGAAAGTCGGACTACAGTCGGTTAGCATCAACTAAAACCAAAGCTAAGACTAGACAAGCAATATAAAACTGTTCAACTATGTTGAACATACGATTCGAGCTTCCAGTTTTCGGCTTGTTTTCTAATTCTGATTGTTTTCGGCTTCCAGTTTCTTGTTATAAGCTTCGAGCTCTTTCTTGTATGTTTCCATTGCCTCTGCAGCTTTACCATTCCTAATTTGCCTCTCTTCTTCACTCAGTTCCTACATATAAACAGCCACCAACACGAGTACTATCCTACACGAATAATATACTGAATCAAATTGTCTCCATCAAATTCAATATTCGGTTTCTTCAATTATACCTTCCACTTTAGCGAAACGAGAGCATTGATAGTAGAATTGTTAGTTCCAGGACGCTCTTCGGCTATATTCTTCCTAGCCTCATTGCTGCATTAAAACAGATACAGAAATAAAGTTTGTTCCACCATCAGCATTCATTTTTCATCCAATGTCACAAAAAAGAAAAAAGAAGAACTTTTAGAAATTTGTAGAAATTGACCTTCTCATAAGGTGCTCTTTCTTTCTCGGTCATGTTCTTCCACTCCTCACCAGTAATCTTCGACCTATATTCAACAGAAACAAAATCCCGAGATTCATAATGATTCTTAAAATTTGTAGACATTACAAATTATTTTTGATTTACCTCCAAGATGTTCTTGTTCTCTGCAAGCAGAGCAGCTCGATGCTCTTTCGAAAATATGAAATAAGCCGACATTGGTCGCTTTGGCTTCAAGGGGTCCTTCTCCTTCCTGTGAACACAACATAAGTGCAAGAACATCAGAAAAGAAATTTCAAACCATGTAACAGCCTCAACAGCACTGAACAATTCCCAAGTAATTTACTTAGTTTTCTTGTTGTCTTTCTCCACATCCTGTTTAAATTGAAGATACTGTTCTAGCAACTCCATGGCAGTCTTTTTCTTGTGCTCTTCCTCCAAGAGTTTCATAGCATCATGCTCGCGCTTCTCATTCGCGATTATTTTCAAATAAGCATCCTCTTCAGCTTTGTATTTTTCTTCATAGGGCTTCTTTTTTTCATCAGTGACAGTCTTCCATTTTGAGGCCAACAGAGAGGACATCTCCTTGAAATCGGCCTCTGGATTTGCTTTCTTCACCTTTACATCCAACAAACCAAACAACAAGCAGCCTCTCGGTGAGATAATCATATACATTTCGACAAAATATTCTTTACGAATGTTTTTGTAGCCATAAATAAATGAGTATACCTCATTCCATTTCTCTTTGCACCACAGAACATAAGGAGGGGATGGCTTTTTTATGGAACTCTTCTTTTTCTTATGAGAAGGGAACGATTTCTCCCCTACAATTCGCATTATAATCAAAACAGAAATTATGCACAATCACAATCAAGGGTTCCGAAAGGTATTAATGATTCAAAAATTAACTAACCATGGTGGGCTTAAATACCTTCATCTTCCGCATTTCTTGAGTTCAGTCCTGATTTTCTCGTGCTCTTGATCCTTCATCTCGAGCTCTTCCTCCTTCACCTTGAGAGATTCCTCCTTCTCCCTCAGCATCTCCTCCGTCCGCTCCTTCTCGAGCTTCAATTTCTCAAGCTTCTCTTGCATCTCCTGCAACTCTTTCTCGAAGGAAGACACCTCCGCTGCTTGCCGCTTTACCCCCTTCGAAGCCCCTCCTTTGTCTGTCTTCTTTTTCGACAGGCTCTCGTGGTTCTCCGTCCCGGCGGGATTATCTGCCTGAGGAGGAATAGGTACAGCGAGCGATTGGAAGATTGAAGGTGAGTAAAAGTGGGTGAGTTTATAAGACGAGTAGGCTAACGGTTGCCCAATTAAAAATTTGAATTTGCTCAGCATTATAAGCCAAAGATTAACTACTTAAGAAATAACTTATTTATGTATAGCAAGTTGAGCTGAAGTTAGTTGTATGCAATTCCATCAATGAATGTCCATAAATCATTTCAATAACTAACTCATGCAGGAAAACAAAGAGAGTAGGAAAGTATAACCAAAAGGAAGAAAACAGAAAAAAAAAATTGAATTCCTAGACACAGTTACATGTCAATTGTCAGTTATCCTCCCTCCCCCCATTACAGATACAATCAAAAAAATGTCAAAAAAAAAAACCATATCTAACATATGTCGACCGAGAGAACACCCCAACTGCCAACGTCTAAAAAAAACCGATGGGCTCCAACATGGGTACTCGACACGCCCATTTTCTCAACCTCTGACAAGCATTTCCATCAAGACATCGTTCCACGCATCTATTGGACCCGGCATACACCAATGCAGACAGTCGCTAATCACCTTCTTCTCCTCCCCACCCCCAGCAAACGGCTGAAAAAATCTATACGGGCCCGGATGCCCATCGGGCCTCATCAACGCCAGCGGGACCACATCCATCACCCCAAAATTCACCCCACTCTCCTTCGCCCTAACACGCGCTTCCCCCAATTCCTCCATCTCCACGTCACGTAAAATCCTATACACCCCATTCACCTCAAACACGCCCTCTTTCACAGGCAAAGTCCTGTTGCAAGTCCCCCCATTGTACCACTCCCCGCCTTCATAGTGATCGGGAGTCGTGGTCCTGTATAAAACCACACCTTCCTTATGGTTTGACCGAACGATATAGTCAAACACGTTGTGGAGCACCTTTTGGTAGGCGTATTTGAATTCGATCTGAGTGAGGTTCCGTTTGGGGCAGTTGTGGCAGCCGATCACGAGGTCATTCTCGTAGTAGATCGTGCTCTTTGGGAACCAGCTCCCGACCGAGAATATCATGTATTCAAACGTGGAGTAATATCGGGTCCAGCTGTCGTCAAGGACGTCGAGGTGCAGCTCGATTTCCGATGTGGAGACGCCGTTCATGTCTTCGAAAATGGCGGCCTTGGCGAGGAGTGGGGACCACAAGTTCCACACCGTGAGGTTGTGGGACGGGAAGACCCATCTGTAGGACTTGTACTCCTCGTCGTGGTACACTTCAATCGCTTTCTCCACCTGATATCATAAATTATACTAAAATAAATTAATAATTCATTACTTTAAATATGTCTTGAAGGAAATATATACTTTGTTATTGATGTAGCTTACACTTACAGTAGAGAGAATGCAAAGAAAGGACTGGATGTGGTTGCGCGTAATCGAGTCACCGACGAATGCCCAAGTTTTATTTCTCATCAGCTCGAGAAACTTCTTGGGATCGAGTCGGGCCAGCTCACAAGCGTGTGGCTTCCACCTCCAGTGAAGATAGTCTCTGTCCGGCCGCCCGTTTTTCATGCAGTCCTGGTGGCCTCCAATGAAGCTGCAGCTATTATTTGTGTACAAGAGTTCTCCCTCGTAGCGAAACCAATCGCCGACAAAAAGATTACACTTTCCTTCACTGTCAAACAGCTCTGTCTCTGTGCGATTACATTTTCCGCCACTGTCCAACGACTCTGTGCGGTTACATTTTCCTTCGCTGTCCAACGACTCTGTGCGACAAAACATTTTTGAAGTAACTCAACACAAAATTGAAATGACTAATAAATAAAAAACTAATGCATAATATAGATGTGCCACTCTTCTCTCTTTATATTGATGATTAAAATGAAATATTTTTTCTTCTTTGATTTTAAAGTTCTTTTAGCAATTTTAAAGTTATTTTTATTTCATACTGCATCTTTCATTGAAAATCAGTATTTTTTTATCGTCCATCCTCTCGTTCTCCTCGGTGATTCGTACCATATTATTAATTATGCTTCACGCAGTAACTCAACAACTTCACATGTGTTTAGCATACTATTTTTATTATAGTCATTCACATCAATTGGTACATTGCCTCATGAATGCATTGCTCGTCCGATTAGCATAGTCGTAACGATAGAACTACGACGCGACTGCAAATACTATCATGTTTTCATATCTAAGATGATCAAGTAATGCAAGATATAACGCTGTTTTGCCAGTTCCACCTGACCGAGGGGCATTATCGTATTCCTATTAATAGCCGGGACCGGCTAAGTTTCAAACATCCATCTAATGCATACCATACCATGTAGAATTAGAAATAATCTCTACATGAGTGGATGAATGTAACATAAGAATTTTCAATGGATTAATGCTCCCCTACCCACGATGCGCACATGTTAATATGTCCACCGCTTATGTGGCATGCACGCATTGATGATGTTAATATGTTCAAAAAAATACATCACCAATGTGTGCATGCCACATAAGCGGTGAACATATTAACATGTGTCCACCGTGGGTAGGGAAGCATTACTAAATTTTCAATTAGCGTATAGTATCTTACAAACATTTAACCGGTACCTTTTTGCTTGTTGTCATCCCTCGGTCGTTTTCTTCCTTTGTTTTGATCGTTATTGGTGTCATCGGATTCTGCATCATTTGTGTTATTCTTGTTTTCGTTCCACGGTCGTTCTCTTCCTTTGTTTTGATCGTTATTGGGGTCATCGGATTCTGCACCATTTGTGTTATTCTTGTTTTCGTTCAGCGGTCGTTCTCTTCCTTTGTTTTGATCGTTATTAGGATCATCGGATTCTGCACCATTTGTGTTATTCTTGTTTTCGTTCCTCGGTTGTTCTCTTCCATTGTTTTGATCGTTGTTGGGATCAATAGATTCTGCACCACATGCATTATTCACGCAACTTATTCTTTGCCCAACCAAAAAAAAAACTTTATAGTATCACCAATTATTTTCTCCAACAATTTGCAAATTGAAATAGGATTTGTCATAAGCAAAAATTCTATGGAGCCATCGGATTGTTTTCTTATGGAGCCATCCATCACTTAATATAGTGAAACCTGTCTAAATTGTATTTATTGTAGGACACGTGTCAATGCACTATTGGTGATTAAGTATGGATTGATCCATAAGCCGAGCCATCCGATGGCTCCATAACAAAACTGTTATCATAAGATGCAGTCTAACTTTTTTTTTTTAAAAAAAAAAAAATTTTAAACAAATTATAAACAAATTATGAAGATGTTAGACAAATAGTACATAACTTTAGGTGTTGTGCCTATGGTGTCAACAATGACTTTGTATTTTGGAGAAAAGTATAAATAAGGTGGACATTTCTTCATGTATGTGGTATTTTTTATAGGGAATTTTATTTTATTTTATTTTTTTTTCGATTATGAGAATCTCCATGATATCTTCTCGGATTATAATTATATTATTAACTTCTGAACTTTTGAAATAATTTGAGATGATAGAGATGCGCTAGATTCTTTTTTAGTTGGTATGTAAGAAAATTTGTTTCATAATCAAATTTTTTATTTATTTTTTTATTTATTTTTTTTTTTTTGCAATTTAAAAACTGAAAAAAAATATTATCGTCATGAAAATAAAGAAATTGAAAATTTATATATGTTGCAGCTTTCAAGTACAAAATAACACATTAATACATAGCAATTTATGAATAATAAATATTAACGTCAACCTCTGTCGTATATTATATAACTCGTTATTTTTATTTTTATTTTTTTTTTGCAGAATAATTTGTGTAATTAAAGTAATATTCTTTCGTCAGCTTATATTGTTTTTAATAAAATACATTTGCCGGTTTCTAAAGTTTTTGTTGTAAATTATGCATATATATATGTATTTTAGACGTAGTAATTGGGAAGTATAATATTTAATTGTGAAAATCTATTTTTCTACCATTGATGTATGACGCAAAAAAATTGATAATACATTTATTAAAACATGAATGTTATTTAATCTAACGATCTATTAATTAAAATTTAAAAACTATTTATTTATTCTTGATTTTCATGTATATCTATACTTATATTAAAGGGAAACCTATTTACTAAATACAGTAGGTAGAAAAGTCAAACTTAATTAATGAACTTCTAATTTAATCAAGTAGTAATTAATGCATTTATAATCTAGTAGGTTGAAAAGTCAGCGTAATTAATGCATGTAGATTGAAAAGGTAATATATTTGTCTTGTATTGTTTTTAAATAAAATGGTTAATTTCTTTCAATCTTTATTTTATATCGCACATGCCTATATGTCTATCATCTACACTATTGTATACACAAAAAATGAGTAATATTAATATCTTTCATAATAGTAATATCAGAGTATCGGACCTCGGACTACTAAAATATCGAATTTAAACAAACTAAAATTATTAGGCCATAACATTTTAATTTTTATTTTTTTTTTTCAAACGGCTAGCTCGTAATAGAACTATGAATCAGTGATCTACCTATGAAACTCAAATAGATCATAGATATAAATTATTGTAGAACAAGCAATAAATATTCAGAAAGTAATAATAAAAATAATAAACCCTCTGTATTGTATTTGAGACTCCCAAGAGTTAGAACAATTCCGGCGACCTAAACATTTTTTAATAGGCATTGAGTTAAAATAAAAAATTAAAATCGAGAAGTGCAATTTCTAATAATATTATAATTAATGATGATAAATAACATAGTACAAATTTGCATAATAATGAGTGACAACCATAATGTAAAATTATATTAAACTCACATAAATGTAATGATATCTTAATTTTCACCTACATAACTTTAAAATCAACAACCCTTATACTTCTTCAATAAATATACATACTTTCATGTAAAAATTAAATACTTTACAAACAATATAAATAAAAGTAAAACAAAGACATATTATAAAATAAAGATTGAAAGAAATTAACCATCTTTATTTGTCTTATATCGCACAGGCTTATACGTCTATCATCTATACTTATATAATAAGGTATCATATATTCCTATTTACCAAATGTAGTAGGTTGAAAAGTCAACATAATTAATGCATTACTATTTCTATCCAGAATTTTATTTATTTATCTTATACCCCATAAAATTAGTTTAAGAAAAAAAAATCTCATAACATCTGACAAGTAAAAAAAATGACGTAAAATCTTTACTAAAATAAAAAATACTTCATTTATTTGTCTTATTCCATATTAACATCGTTTTGTCAAAACAAATCCCATAAAATCAATGAAGTCAAAATTTGTACATAAAGTCTATCTATACTAAAAAAAAGGCAGATTCAAAATTCTTTATTTAATTCCTTCTTTTTCTTATCTAATTCCTTCTTTTCCTTATCTAATTCCTTCTTATTATCTAATTGTATGGAAATTTGTTCTGATTTTGTTTAATCCTCTAATTGTATTTGTATTATATCCCATAAAATCGGTTTAACAAAAAAATCTCATAACATCCGATAAGTAAGAAAAAAAGTACATAAAATGTTTACTAAAATAAAAAAGACTTTATTTATTATCTGATTGTATGGAAATCTGTTCTGATTTTATGGTATGTACTACAAATTTTGCACCCGTGTTCAGGAGCTACTTAATGGGCAAACTTTGTGAAAATGACACATTAGTGCTTATGTCCTGTGCATAAGGTATATATTTGTATTACACATACTAGAAAATTGTGCACCTCGTGCATCACATGGGCTTTGTACTAATAAATGATCTTAAAATTGTGCACCACGTGCATCACCCGTGTTCACATTTTGGCCTATTACAGTTCACGTACTATATATATCCCGTACATTTTTGTATTTATTTATATAATTATAAGACTGGATAAATGACCTTAAAATTGTGCACCCCGTGCATTGCACGGGCTCTGTACTAGTATATTTGTAATAATCCATCCAACATATCCGATTTTGGTTGTTATAATAATAATTTTTCCAATAATATTACCACTTCGCTTAAATATATTTTCTACAATTAGTAAAAAGAAATGTTGGGAATTTGAGAATCCCAAATATTTTTTTTTTTTTTTGGTACAGGGACCTTCCGGTTTCCGGATCCACAGGAGAACCGATTAATCCGGAATCGAGCCGGGTAGAACCACAAGGGCGGCAAAGCTCTCCCAAACATTTTTATTTCCGATTTATTGAATCTCACCATCATAATAATGCTACTAAAATCAATTTCTTAAAATTTGAAAAAACTAACGAGATTCAAAAATATTATTATTATTATGTATATATCACTCAACATCATTATAAAACTAACAATGCAATTTTAAAAGTTTCATAAAATGAAAATAAAACGTCCTATGTTTATTTTGTAAGCATTTTGATGTTAATATTTCTTAATTCAATACCAATCTAATACATACATAATACACACACTCTCATAATGAACGATATTGGCAAAAGCTCCCAACATCACAAGCCATTCACTACATTTCTAACACAAATAACATCAAAAAAGGGGGAAAGAGGAAAACAAAAAAGGAAGTTAAAAAAATCTGACCTTGATGAGTCGTATTCTGATCTGTAACCTCAAGAATAGAAAGTAGAGAAATATGATGATAGGGGCTGTTACTGTAAATAAGCCTAAACGCAAGGACCACTGCCAGAATTAATGCGACCAAATTGAGAACAGAATACTTGTTCTTCTTTTCAGGAGACCTCAACCAAGAGCACACCATTTTCTCCACCTTTATTTATTTTATTTATTTATTTTTTTTCGGTTTTTATAGTCTCCTACAGTCAAAACGAAATCCAGTTTTTTTTCAAAGAATCGGATTTTTTTTTTTTAAAAAAAAAAAAATGTATATATTCTTATTATTATAGTGCTTTTGTTCTGCCGCTGTCTGCTCCATTGATTTAGTGATGGTGTAGACTGTGAACAGTAGAGGTTATTATTTAGGCTAATAATAACACACGCAAAGCAGATTTCGAAAGGTAATTATATTAGTATAACATTTGCTTTTCTATTTTTTTTTTTATTTTTTAAAAAAAAATAGACATGATGATGACTAGAAGTGCCCTTAATTTCTACTGCAATTGTCTTTTTTTTGCTTACGATTGGGTTTCTAGAGTAAATTACACCCTATATATATCATCTATAATGCTCTACATAACATATTGTTTTTATTAGAAATGCTCCCCTATTCACGGTAGGCACATGTTAAAATGTCCACCGTGTAGGTGGCATGCACTCATTGGTGATGTTAATATGTTTAAAAAATACATCACCTATGAGTGCATACCACCTACGCGGTGGGCATATTAACATGTGCCCACCGTGGGTAGGTAAGCATTTCTCTCGTTTTTATTTGCAAAATTAGTAGATGTATAACAATAATTACAAAATTACCATATTTTATAAAATATGATAAATTTAAAGATGAAATGAAGGGTAATTAAAGATAGATTTTCTCTCTCTCCTCCCTTTCTCTACTTCTCCTTCTTCTTTCTCTCTCTGTACTCGGTCTGCTTTTCAATAATTTCAGTAGCTAGCCCATCCTCCATCGGACCAAACAACTGCACACCTTCCACACGAGCATACCTGACCCTTTTCAACAGCGAGCAACAACTGTTTTCCCATTACCGAGAGCCCGAATAGAAGCACCTTCGATAAACCTGTGTCTTCTTCTTTGCGAAAGGATGTAGCGAACAACAACTATGTTTCAGTCGGGCTCCGACTGGGTTCGGGCTCAGTTAGTTGTACGAGTTTAGGCTCTTCGGTAGCTTCTGTAGCACGGATTTTGTTTCCTGACCATGGTAATTTGGAAAAGGAAATTGTTTGCTTGTTAGGTTTGAAGAGATCGACAAATGAATCGAGTTGAAGATAATTTGGTGAGGATTGGGAGGCAGAGAAAAAGGGTCCTGTGGCGAATCAATCTTGTGTATATTTTATGTATATATTATGTATATAAATCGAGCTGAAATTTAAGTTATAAGGTTTAATGTGTTTTCTGTATATATTTTGTATTTAATGACAAGATCGATTTATTTTCTGTATATCTGTTGTGTATTTTTTGTATGTCGTTTGTATATAACTAATGAGAATCCCGTGCAATGCACGAGGTTTCGTATTTTAAAATATTTTTTCAAAACTTTATTTTAACAATATATTAGCCCGCTGACCTGTTTATATTAATATAAATAATATTTAACATATATATTTATTTACAGAAAAAATAATAATATTACATACTTTGGTTCATCATAATACTCAAATATTATTTTATTAAAAAAATTTATTGTCGTATGATGTCATAATACTCAAATATTACCAGTTTTCTCAATGTCCTGCTTCAAGCTGCCTTTGGGTGTGTGTGATGATCTCAGTAGAATTACAACTGGAAGAAGTAGAACAAAATAACCATCCCCAAAGCCAATGGAGGTCTGGGCTTTCATGACTATAAACTTTTCAATGAAGCAATGCTGGTCAAGCAACTCTGGAGAGTGACCACTATGCCTGAGCTGTTAATGAGCAAAGTCATCAAAAGCAGGTATTTTCCCTCTTCTTCTATATTTAATGTGAAAAGGAGTCAGTCTGGATCTTGGATGTGGAATAGCTGGGTTGAGGTGCTGCCTTTATTTGTTGGAGGGTTAGTTAGGGAGATTTATGATGGTAAGCAAACCAAAATTCTTGACCACAGTTGGGTGCCTAATTTACATCAGAAATGTCCCACTCTTAATGCATCTGTTAATGCTTCTCAAATCTGGGTTAGTGATCTGCTTAGTGACAATGGGAAGGAGTGGAATGACAGTGTTATTAGAGAGTTGTTCTCAGATAGTGTCAGAACTGAAATTCATAAGATCACTTCCTTAGACCCCACTAAACCAGATGTCTGGAAATGGTCCTATGATTCTAAAGGACTGTTCTCTGTGGCTAATTCCTACTCTCCATCAATGAAGATTAAAGCAATGGGATTGATAGAGGCTGAGAGTAGTAGAGATGGTTTGATGTCCCTAGTCAGAAGCAGAACATGGAAGCTTAAGGTGAAGGGTAAATTCAAACACTTCCTGTGGAAATGTTACAATGATGTACTGCTAGTGGGTTTGAACATATTGAAGAGAGGTATGGCTATTGAAAGCATTTGCAGGATGTGTGGTGAAGACTTGAAAACTGAGGAACATTTGCTTATTAATTGTGTTCGAGTAAGGAAAGCATGGAAGTTAACTCCTTTGTCATGGTCTGCTGAGCAAGGAAGCCAGAATAAATTTAGACTTTGGTGGAACAATGTGTGCTCCGTGGACAAATCTGAGGTAGCCGAAGATAGAATACAACCTTCAACTTACATTTTATGGTGGCTTTGGCGATCTCGAAACTTATGGTTGTTTGAGAATATCTGGATGCCTGAGGAAGTGATAGCTAAAGGGGCTTGGAGAGAATGGCAGGAGTGGGTTGTTGTGCATCATTAAGTTTGTTGTTTTGTTTTCAGCTTTTAGTTTGCTAGGTTGATTTGTGTTTCTTTTCAGTAGTGAGTTGGATTCTTGTTCCACTTTTATTTTCTTAGGTTTTGTCTGCAGGTTGTGTGAGTTGGTTGTCAGGTTTCTGTTAGGTTTGCGAGTAAGGTCCCGGTGGTTGCATCCTCGTCTTAGTCGTGGTTTTAATTGTGTCTCTAGACCACTTTCATAGTGTGTCTCCCATGGTTTTGTTATTGTTCAAACTTTCGGGTGCTCCCCAATTTATTTATATAGATTCTATTGTTTGGAAAAAAAAAAAAAAAGAAAAAAGATGTCATAACACTTGTAGGAGTAATTTTTATTTTTATCTAATTATAAATATTTATATTAATATTATTTATTGATATAATTAATTTAAAATTATATAAACAAATTTAATGCTTATTAGGAATATGATTATATGGAAGGTAAGATAAAATAGTATGAATAAACCTTAATTGAATTAACCCACCATTTAAGAGAGCATTTAATGTTGCCTAATTTATGGCAAACAAAATTCAAATAATTTCCCAAAGTGACATGCAATTAATTTTGACCGATTTTTTTGTTACTATTTTTGGTAAATAGGTTCTTTATATATATATATATATATATATATATATATATATATATATATGAGTATATCTTCTGTATGTAATCCTGATTGTGTATTTTATATGAATTTAGAAGATGACGTTGTTTGAGATTCAAATTCATTATCTTTCTATTTTGTATTGAACATTCTCCTGATTGATACGATATATAAACTTACCATATCTTTTGTTTTTTTTTTTAGTGCAAATCCGATATCCCCATTCATGCGCAATTTAAGGAACATGTTTCATATGTTTTATTTGGTAACTGAAATTTGATTATTCACTAATAAATGTAATACATTTGGTGGGAACGCAAATAAAATATACACCTTGGTACAAATGCAAATATTTTAAAATCTTGTGGTACACATAAAAATTCCCCGAGTTTCTAATATATGGAAAGAAGAGCTATGGGTAGACATAGGCCAAATTCCGGGCCCGGGTTAAAAATAATCGACCCTGAACCGGCCCTACCTACCTAAGGGAAGTTCACATATTTACAGCATCTAGACAAACCCCTTAACAATCAATTTTGCCTAAAGGAAAAAAGAAACAAAACTAAAACTCAGAAAAAGAAGTGGAAACAACTGACAAAAATAAACGAAATTCACATATTTACAGCATCAAGAAACAAGAACACTTTACCAAAACTCAAAACAAGAAGTGGAAACAACTGACGAAAATAATCTGATAACCAAAAATAGGAAAAATAGACATAGAAAACAACCACATTTCAGTAGGATTAGAATGCACTCTGGAAACACGCAGCTATAAGCCCTCTTTCGCCTCTCGTTTTCATGGCTGCCGCACGATCACGTTGATGATGATCATCGATCCAAATGCACAGCTGTCTTATGGCCTCCTTTTTCTCTTCAGCCATGCTCAAGATTCTCTCATCTTTCTCTTTCATCCGCCTTTCCATCTCCGCCATCTTTTCTTCCCGTTCTTCCAAAGCTCGAGTCAAATTTTTCCTTTCCTCTCCATATGACCCCAACTTCGTCTCAAGTTCCTCCTTTTCCTTCAGTTGCCCGACCAGATCGGAAATTTCATTCTTCATCCGATCCTTCTCGATATTATTCTCATCTATACATTTCAGCACAACACTCAGCTTGTTTGTGATATCATAAACACGGGACTCAAAATGCTTGTAGTCCTCCTGAAACTTCGCGCTCAAGTTATCCATCCCCATTAAAGTTTCATTTACCTTATCAGATATTTCGGTTGAGGTTTTCGCCCGAGCTTCTTCATACGCAGAAATCCTTTCCTCGAGCAACTTGTGATCTTCTAGAAACTTCTCCACCCTTACTCGGTGGCTCTCCTCTTTCTCACCCAGTAACTGTTCCGTGACAAGAAGCTTCCGGTTGGTCAAACGTTGGCTGATTTCGATGGCTCTCAAGTTGTCTGCCAACCTGCTGATCTCGTCGTCTTTCATCTCCAACTCTGTCTTAACCTCTTCAACATTTTCTTCCAGCCGATTAATTTCCCGATTTTTCGCTTCAGTTACTTCCATGTGCAGTGCGCGCAATTTGACGAGTTCAAGCTTGAGGCTAACATTTTCCATCCGAAGTTTCGAATTTTCTTTTCCCCATTTCTCGTGTTCAGGGCTTTTTGCCGGTAAATTTATCGGTGCTTCATCTGAGTCCGAGGACCCCGAGGTGGGTGAAGAACCGCAATTCCCTTGCTTGCCCTCGGCTTTTTTTCTTAGCTTCTCGATTAGATGGTCGTAACGCGAGTAAAGAGACTGGTAATCGCTGTTCAAAGTCCCAATGAAGCCTGTAATCGTGTCTTTCGTACAACTACCTTCCTCTTTGATACATCTCAACATGCTTTGCAGTCTTCCATCCATCTCTGCAGTTAACAATGCACTTTGAAGATAGGGAAAAAAAAAAAAATCTGAAGGGGCTCCAATGGGTAAGGTAAAGCAAAAAACGGGGTTATATCTACTTCATTACTATCGTATTTATTCCAGTCACAGTATAGTGGTCGATTGCAAATGAAGCTGGAAGAGTCATTGTTGACAATTATCCTCGCATAGTGCTAATAATGGACTCGATCAAATGGCTCAATTAAATTCTAGTGTTTCTTGTATTAGTGAAGTTTCTAGAAAAAAAAAAATATATCAAACGATGCAATGCACCACCTTGGGTCGGGTAAGGTCTGCGTACAACTATATTGATTATGTTGTTGTTGTTACAGTATAGTGGTCGATGAAAATGAAGCTATTGGGACAAGTTATATACCTGCATTGATTCCTTCAAGCTCCTTGATTTCAGGATCAAAGTAGCTCCCGATAAGCGATTCGACCGACTCGCGCAAATGACGTCGAGACATGAGTGATGTTTCAGCAAAATTCACCAGGCTGCGAATCGTACGAAGGCATGAAACAAATACAGCATAATAAGGCAGCGATTTAAACAAATCCCAAATAATAAACAAAATTCCATGAGAAGGGCTTTTCTCAAAATCACAAGGCATGAAAACAAACCGATAAAGTTCGACCCTTTTATCATAGCCAAGCTCGCGTATACAGTGTGTGTGTGTAGAGAGCGAACAGCACGTAGCGTGTGGTGAAGAAGATGACTAATGTTGTAAGTGATGGAGATACTTACGTCAATTTATTAGACTCTCGGATTATTGTTATTTAGATTTGGGAGATAAGTACAATTTATATAATAGTAGATAACTACAAAATAAAGAACCGGATACTACTGAAAAACAGGGGAATAGTTGGGACATTCAAGAAACAAATTGTGATTATAATTTTAGGGAGAATAGTTGGGACATTCAAGAAACAAATTGTGATTATAATTTTAGGGAGATTTTATGGTACACAAACCCGACAGAATGGTTCCATAACAGACTGTAGCATTTTTCATAATTTTATAGGTTATATGTGTATATGTAATATTTTAAATTATAATTTAAATAATTAGCATATTATATTTTATAAATTTAATTATAATGACACAAAATAAACTATTTAACTTACATATGAAACTCTATATTGGATTGAGATAATATAATATTTGAAATCTTGACTGATTATGACCAATTAATTAGATAAATCAATACTCAAATCAGGAACCAACAACAACTAAAGAAGAAAAATAAAGGAGAGAGTGACCGTGCGTCCTCTCACGATAATTTATATTTATAAAATTTCCTCAACTTACCCTTACTAACTGGTAGTAGTGGCGAGCAAGGGTCGATCCCACGGAAAGTGTGGTATAAAGCGTGATATTATTATATTAATTAGATTAAAATAAAAAGGGGGGATTTTGATTTAATTCTAAACTACTAGCAAACAAGAAAATAAACTAGAACTAGAAATAACGGAAAATTCAACTTAAATCTCTGCTCCTACTTTCAACTTCCAAATCACTCCCTATGTTAATTTTTATCCACTGCACTCCCTCCTACAACTTTTCTCTTTCCTATCTACTCCCCATATATATACTAGTATTATTATTTTTCATTTAATTTGCTCAGGAAAAACTCTCCTCAATTCCCGTCAATCTATCTCTCAATTTCTATCCAGGAGTCTCTCTCTAACTACAGATCAAAAAAAAAAAAAAAATTCGAACACTCTTAGATCTGAAAAAAAAAAAAAATGGTGTCTTTAGATGTTAACAGCACAGATAACCGTATCTGTCAGATCGAGGAAGGCATCGGCGACGTGGGAGAGCTATGACGAGTCATTGCCGCAGCTGTTCCCAGAGTTCCGACGCAACTATTCTGGCGATGAGCTTTCGCAGGGATGAACAGACGAAAAGCAAATTAGTGATGCTTATGAGATCAGCCTGACTATAGCGAGATGCTCAAAGCCCTCTGTAAGGTGAATTTTTTGAATTTGGGGATTCTTTTGCTCAAGCAATTTAATTTTTTTTTTTAATTTGGGAATGGCTTTGTTGTTAGCAGTGGGGGATCTTTGAAGCACAAGTGGGTTTATTTGTTTGTTATTTTTTTTAATATGTTGATGTTGATTGGATCTGTGTGTTTAGTAAATGAATTTCTCTAAAAAAATTTAGAAGAAAAAAAAAAAGAAAAAAGGAGAAATCCAACTTGCAGACAAATAAGTCACAGAGGAGGAAGATTAGCATGGTTTTCTTGAGTATTTACTTTTGCTGGAAAAAATAGTCCAAATGAAGTGAACTTAGATGGTCTCCTTTTATTTTCCCCCACAATTTATAATTAATTTCATGGACTCGTGTAGATAATGACAAAAGCCTGACTAATTTGGAATTTGTGATATTCTTCTTCTTCTTGAAGAGATTTTTCTGTTTTCTTTTTCTTTTTTTTTTTTCCTCCCAACTCTGCTATTTGTGTACTTATATTTCTTTTATTTAGTTTAATTTTCAACAGAGGAGGGTTTTGCATACAAAAAAGCCATTATCAGCTTCAATCTACTTTTAACAGTTCCGGTCGTTCAGTTATGTGTAGTGTTGGCCGTTTTCCTTCTCCTCTTGTACAACCTCACAGCTCTGCGCCTCCAATTTTCTGACAAAAATGGTTTTCCCAAACAACATCGATT